CAAAAAAAAAACAACCTTTTTCTTTTCTTTTTTGAAAAAAAAAGACATAGAGTAGAACAATTAAGGGCATAAAAACGCTTTTTTTTGGCACGAGCAAGCGCCGTCTCCAACAGCACGGCCCTATAATAGGGCACAAGAATGTTTTATTTTGCATGAAATAGGGCAAAACTGCTTCAATAACTGCCCTAAAATAGGACGGGAGCCGCGGCAAGCGTATCGGGGTCGGCGGCGGGGCCAGAGGAGCCGGCCATGGCGCGCGGGCGGGCGGATCCGAGGGTTTCCGGCCACGGGTGGCCGTTCGAAAGCAGCCTCGAGTTTCTGGGCAGCCGCCCGACTGCCCTATATTTGCTGCACGAGGATCCTCTTTTTGCGGCTGCCCACAAAATTGTATTTTTTTAGGATGGGGCAGTTGTTGGAGGCCGGTTTTTGCCTCCCATACCCTAAATACGTCATGTGCCCAAAAATAGGAATGTTGTTGGAGATGCCCTTAGCCTTCATTTCTTTTTTTCCACAAAGAGAGAAAAATAGCAGCAGCTTTTTTTTGGAAGATCCAGCATCATATCCTCAATCATTGATTTAGGAGAATAACATGAAACAAGTGGTGATGAAAGAAGGCCTTGGACCGACTACTAGATGGATAATCTGACAGCAAATCCCCGAATGGGCTCTCAATGCCTTTGACACATGCAAGGCACCAACGCTCTAGATTTGACCTGATAGCCCTAATCGCGTATGTGATGAGGGGGAATTTCATTTGAAAACTTCATTGTTTCTCTCTTGCCATATCTCCCAGCAAATTAGGATGATTATGGAGTTGATCCCTCATCTTGCTTGATCGTGATCACTTCGGGGCATATTTCACCCTATGTGGTTTTGGTGATTGATTACAATGCTTTTGCAGACTAATCGTGTGCGTTGAGCATTTCAGATATCTCATGTTTAGGCACAAGATGATTTGACGCCCCTCGAAGACTATTGAAGACGGTGTTTCTCTACGTTTCTTTTTGGTGGATTTGAGTCATAGGAAAGCCGTACTATTAAGAGGGGGCCCTCGTTGGAAAGGTTTGGGTGGAATCAACACGTACACGTCTGCCCCTTTGCCCCCCTTTCCTTTGGCTCCTTGGAGCATCCTCCGTCCCACTATGTCTCTGCAAAATGAAGGACTCCTAATGTTGCTGAACTGAGGCAGACGGTAGTACTACCTCAGGTCCTTGCGGTAGTACCGGGCTCCAGCACGGTAGTATGGTAGGTGCTCACAGTAGTATCGCTCCTTGGGAGCGGTAGTACCGTGGCCTCAGGCCAGGCGCAACTGCTCGAGCAGTAGTAGGGGCGGATGTAATTTTTTTACATCCGCGCCCTACGTGGTAGTACCGTGAGCTCTGGCCAGGCACAACAGCATGAGCGGAAGGAGGGGCGGGTGTAATTTTTTACATCCGCACCCTACACGGTAGTACTGCTCCCGGCTTGCCGTAGTACCGTGTCGGATTTTTGCATAGATCTAAACTCAGCGGAAGTAGTCACGGATGTAATTTTTTATGTCTGTGTATTCTCGGCCTAGACTATTCATGCCTTGCGGTAGTACCGCGAGGGGGCGCGGTAGTACCGTGCCAGCGGTTCTACCGCTCCCTGTCTTAGCACATCAGCACTAGTCTTCGCCCCTGCCGTGCCAGCGGTAGTACCGCGGTCTTCCGCGGTAGTACCGTAGGCACGTGCGATAGTACCACTTGTATGATGCGGTAGTACCGCGTGTCGCAGGCTGAGTTGGTGGATAACATTTGGATTTGTCTCTTGACTATAAAAGGGGTGTCTTCTTCTCCGAGTTCACTACCTCTTCCACCTCTAAGCTCCATTGATGCTTTAAGCTCCATTTTCGCCCGATCTCTCTCCCTAGCCAATAAAACTTGTTGATTCTCTAGGGATTGGTTGAGAAGGCCTCGATCTACACTTCCACCAAGAGAAATTTGATCCCCCCCCACTAATCCCTTGCGGATCTTGTTACTCTTGGGTGTTTGAGCACCCTAGACGGTTGAGGTCACCGCGGAGCCATAGTCCATTGTGGTGAAGTTTCGTGGTGTCCTTGGGAGCCTCCAATTCAGTTGTGGAGATTGCCCCAACCTTGTTTGTAAAGATTCGGTCGCCGCCTCCAAGGGCACCAATAGTGGAATCACGGCTTCTCGCATTGTGTGAGGGCGTGAAGAGAATACGGTGGCCCTAGTGGCTTCTTGGGGAGCATTGTGCCTCCACACCGCTCCAACGGAGACGTACTTCCCCTCAAAAGGAATGAACTTCAGTAACACATCCTCGTCTCCATCGGTTCCACTTTTGATTATCTCTCACCTTTACTTGCGCAAGCTATATTGTGTTATATCCCTTGCTTGCGTGTGTGCTTATTGTTGTTGCATCATATAGGTTGCTCACCTAGTTGCATATCTAGACAACCTACTTTGATGCAAAGTTTAATTTGGTAAAGAAAAGCTAAAAATTGTTAGTTGCCTATTCACCCCCCCTCTAGTCAACTATATCGATCCTTTCAATTGGTATCAGAGCCTCGTCTCTTAATTGAGGGCTTTACCATCCTAAGAGTATGGTTGACACCATAGACGGTGAGGAGGAGCACCCCGGTATGAATCCTTCTTCGTCTACGGCCGATGGGGGATCCCCGGTCTCACGTGAGGAATTCAATGTGGCTTTGGACACATTGGAAACCTCCATGACGACCGAGGTCAAAGGCATGTTCAAAGAGTTCCTTGATGGTCTTAAATTATCCACCGCACCTTTGGAAGTGGCCGCTTCCACTAACAAGGTGGCGGATGCCAACTCCGATAAGGGGGAAGCTTCGAGTGATAGAGTTACTTTATCTAGTGGTAGAAATGGTAGCGGCATCTTTGCCCATGTTGAACCACCTCTTACTTACGGAGGACCGGTTCCCTCCACTCATTTAAATCATGCGGGTTCTCCTCCTAAGATTGTGAAAAATGAGGATTTTGACTCATGGGTCTATCGCTTTAAACGTTATTTAAACCATGTCAATACTAATCTTTGGAGAATTATTGAGCAAGGTTTCTATCCCCATGACCCAAGCAACTTTACCCCGAGAGAAGCCGCGTATAATCAATTCAATGTGAATGCCCTCTTCGTCATCCAAGACGCAATTCCATCCGAAGACATTGCTCATCTCCGTCCGTTCACCATGGTCAAGGAAGCTTGGCACCATGTTGTTTCTCTTTACAAGGGAAGCACAATCATTCAACGCTCCAACTATGAAGTGGTACAAGATGAAGCCGATGAGTTTGCAATGAATGAAGATGAAGAACCTCATGTGCTTTACCGGAGATTAACCACTCTCGCGGTCTCTCTCCGAGATCATGGGAGCAAGGATACGGATGATAATTGGATCAAGCGCAAATTCCTCAAGGCCATGATGCCTTACCACAAGGCCATTTCCTCTGTCATCCGTCAAAGGCCGGACTTCCACACCTTGTCCTCAAATGCAGTGTTGGATGAGTTTGTGGCGATGAGAATCTTGGACAAGACCGCCGACAATGTGGTGTTGCGTTCTCAAAGAGAAAAGAAGCCCAACCTTGCCTTGAAGGCCAAGGCTAGTGTGGAAGAAGAGGATGAATAGGAAGATGAGGAGAACAACCCCGAAGATACGAAATATGATTATCATGAGTACGTACATGGCTCTTGGTTCAAGGCAATTTTGGAGCAAGGAGAACTCGAGGCCCAATTTCAACAAGAACAACTCAAGTGGCTTCAAGGGCAAGCAACGTGTGAGAACTTGTTACAATTGTGGCAATGTGAGCCATTTTGTTGCGGAGTGCCCTTGCGAGAAGCGGGAAGACAATGGTGGCAAGCTCATCCGAAAAGACAAAGCCAAGTCCTTCCCCAACAAGGACAACTTCACCAAGAACACTCTGACCAAAGGGTTGGTAGCACAAGAAGAATACAAGGATGATGATGATGATGATGATGAAGATAGTGAAGTCATGGCTGTCGGTGTCAAAACCGGCGGATCTCGGGTAGGGGGTCCCAAACTGTGCGTCTAAGGCTAATGGTAACAGGAGACTGGGGACACGATGTTTACCCAGGTTTGGGCCCTCTTGATGGAGGTAATACCCTACTTCCTGCTTGATTGATCTTGATGATATGAGTATTACAAGAGTTGATCTACCACAAGATCATAGAGGCTAAACCCTAGAAGCTAGCCTATGATTATGATTGTTGTTGTCCTACGGACTAAACCCTCAGGTTTATATAGACACTGGAGGGGGCTAGGGTTACACAGAGTCGGTTACAGAGAAGGAGATCTAACATCTGAATCGCCAAGCTTGCCTTCCACGCAAAGGAGAGTCCCATCCGGACACGGGACGAAGTCTTCAATCTTGTATCTTCATAGTCCAACAGTCCGGCCAAAGTATATA